AATAATAATAATAATAATAATAATAATAATAATAATAATAATAATAATAATAATAATAATAATAATAATAATAATAATAATAATAAAGAAAAAACTTTAAACTTTTGGAAAGAACTGTGGAAAAATCCAGTGGAACATAATAAAACTGCCTCCTGGATCAAAGATATCCAAAAACAAGCAACACAAAACAAAATGGAGAATATTGTAATAACCACTGATATGGTTGCAAAACAAGTAAAGAAGGTCAAGAACTGGAGTGCACCTGGCCTGGACGAGCTGCATGGATACTGGTTGAAACATTTCACCAGCCTCCATCACCGCATGGCCACTCAGTTTGATGAAATGCTTCAAAATGCCACAAGTGAAGAATGGTTAACAGCTGGTCGAACATACTTGATAATAAAGGACCCAGAAAAGAGCACAAAACCAAGTAACTACCACCCAATGACTTGTTTGCCAACAACATTCAAACTTTTTACAAGAATACTGGCAAATTCAGTATTCAATCATCTGATGGAAAACAGTCTGTACCCGGTAGAACAAAAAGGAAATTATAAAAAATCAAGAGGAACAAAAGATCAGCTGCTCATTGACAAAATGGTACTTAAAAATGCAAAATGACGGAAAATGAACTTAAATATGGCGTGGATTGATTGCAAGAAGGCATTCGCCTCATTACCCCATAGCTGGATTAATGCGTGTTTGGAAAACTTTGGAATCAGCAAAAATATCTGTACATTTTTGAAAGCAAATATGCAAAAATTGAAAACAGCCCTAACAGTAAGTGGGGAGAACATTGGTGAAATTAACATCAGACGACGAATTTTCCAAGGGGACTCACTTTCACCACTACTGTTCAACATCGCATTAATTCCATTGACAATAATCTTACGAAACACAAAACTGGGATACTACATCTCAGGCCAGCATGGCAAGATAAACCATCTGCTGTACATTGATGACTTAAAACTGTATGCGAAAAGCCACACTGAACTTGAATTAATACTCAACGCAGTCCAACTATTTAGCAGCGACATCAGAATGAACTTTGGACTTGGAAAATGTGCTGTACTATCCATGCAACGAGGAAAAATGGCAAAAATAGAAGGAATAGAACTGGGAAATGGAAGTATTGTGAAAGCACTAGCAAAGGATGATGGTTACAAATATCTAGGCATATTGGAAGCAGATAACATCTTGAATGGAAAAGTCAAAGAGTCAACGCAAAAGGAATACATCAGGAGAGTCCTCAAAATTTTAAAATCAAAGCTGAATGCTGGAAACATAATTAAAGCCATTAATACATGGGCAGTCCCGGTGATACGCTACCCAGCTGGAATTATCAAATGGACTTTGGCTGAACTGGAAAACCTAGACCGGAAAACGCGTAAACTTCTGAATATGCACCATGCTCTACATCCACGAAGTGACATTGACAGGTTGTACCTGCCAAGAAAAATAGGGGGCAGAGGACTATTACAAATCCACCAAACTGTAGAAGAAGAAAAACGAAGTTTGAATGACTATGTGAATCAAAGTACAGAAAAACTGCTGAAGGCTGTGAAAACAGAGAGCACTATAAAAATAACAGAAACAAAGGCAGAATATAAGGAAAAATGGCTGGATGACAGATTAAATAGATGGAAAACCAAAGCTTTGCATGGAAAGCATTTGAAAAGCATTAAAGGAAAATGTGATAACAACTTGACATGGGCATGGCTTAAGATGGGAACCAGAAGGCCTAATACTGGCTGCTCAAGAACAAGCACTACAAACTAATGCCATGAAAGCGAAGATACAAAAATCCACTGACAATCCAAATTGCCGACTTTGCAATGACAAAGTTGAAACTGTTTCACACCTAATTTGTGAGTGCAGCAAAATCGCGCAAACTGATTACAAATCTAGACATGACCGAGTTGCTAAATTAATCCACTGGGCATTGTGTAAAAAATACGACTTGCCTGTGTCCGAAAAGTTGTGGGAACACAGGGTGGAAAAAGTTGATGAGAATGAGAGGGTGAAGATCTTGTGGGACTTTCAAATACAGACAGATCGCCATTTGGAACACAATACGCCGGATATCACAGTTGTAGAGAACTGAAGCATACAGCTGATTGATATTGCTGTACCAGGAGATGCCAGAGTCGAAGAAAAAGAACTGGAAAAAATTACGAAATATCGCGATCTGGCCATCAAAACTGCGCGATTATGGATGAAACGTGTAACAGTGGTACCCATTGTCATTGGGGCACTGGGAACTATGTCCAAAAACTTTGCAAAACAGCTTCCTACAATAACTCCAGCAATGTTACAAAAAACTGCGCTACTCGGAACATCTTATATTTTAAGAAGATACCTGGTTGACACCTAAGATGCTGGTAGCAACCCGTGTCAATCATCAGCGCCAGCCAATTTGAATGTTCAGTTGACTGAAGTTCATGTTTAATGAATAAACGATAATAATAATAATAATAATAATAATAATAATAATAATAATAATAATAATAATAATAATAATAATAAGTTGGAAGGAACCTTTGAGGTCATCTAGTCCAACCTTCTGCTCAGGCAGGTAACCCTATACCATTTCGAACAAATGGCTGTCCAGTCTCTTCTTAAAAAGTTCCAGTGTTGGAGCATTCACTGCTTCTGGAGGCAGGTTGTTCCACTGGTTAATTGTTCTAACTGTCAGGAAGTTTCTCCTTAGTTCTAGGTTGCTTCTCTCCTTGATTAGTTTCCATCTGTTGCTTCTTGTCCTGCCCTCAGGTGCTTTGGAGAATAGCTTGACTCCCTCTTCTTTGTGGCAGCCCCTGAGATATTGAAACTCAGCTATCATTTCCCCCTCATCCTTCTCTTCGTTAAACTAATCATTTTATACATTTTTATCATCTGTTTTTCAAACACAATAAGAAATTGTTTCACCCCAGGCTACATCTGTTTTTAAAGTGTTAATATAGTTTCAACAATGCCAGTTCCATTTTTATATCTAAATCTACAGAAAGGACTAATTTGTGCTGTAGGCTAATTGTGGAATTAATATTGGAAGGTGCTAAAAAAATAAAATAAACACCCCTTGGTGAAAAAAGAGAGAAAAAGAAAAGAGAGGGAAGAAATATTTGAATGAAAAGTGCTTTATCCTAGATTGATAAGGTGAATGTTTAAAAGTGAAATAAAAGTTCTTTCTTTCTAAATAAATGTTTAAGACTTCACTATTAAATTGTATGTTTTTATTATCTAAAGATTATGGTTTCACTCTCTTTTCATGCTCACTTATAATTTCTAATCTAAACATTGTTTCACATCATTTACTATGTTGCAACTATATAACCGTGGGTGCCCTTTTTAATTCCATAAGCTACTTTATATTTTAAATTTATATTTTAAAGTAAATGTAATACATAATGTATCTTATGTGTTATCAGTACATAAGGATTACTGAATTTCTATCAATACTGATAATATATAAGATAACGCTTATAACTGATCATCAGAAAACAATGGGTTTAGCCTTTTCACACATTTTCCAGCTTGATTTACTAAGCCTGATAAACTATTATTGCTTTTAGTCTATTAGCGTTTTCACTGGGCTGAAGGAGAAATGTTCTAAATGGTTTGAAAGAAATTGTGGACTGCACACAGTTTAACAATATAAAAACCAACAACTTCCAGGAAAGATAGCAGAGTTAAGATGGCTCTGTCAAAAGTGGAACTGATGTTTGTGGCCATGAATAGGGAGCCAACAAGTAGATCAGCTCTATCAACTCTGTCTAGATAAAGTGACGATACAGGGAGATCTCAACTTACCACAGTTCATTTAGTGACCGATCAAAGTGACTTAAGACCATTTTTCACACTTACAACCATTGCAGCATCCCCGTGGTCATGTGATCAAAATTCAGACTTTTGGCAACTGACTCACATTTATGAGTTGCAGTGTCCCGGGGTCATGTGATCACCTTTTGCGACCTTCTTAAAAGCAAAGTCAATGGGGATCACAGATTCACTTAACAACCGGGTTACTAATTAGCAGTGATTCAGTTAACAACTGTGGGAAATGGAACAAAATTCAGTTAACAAATGTTTCACTTAGCAACAGAAATCTTGGTCTCAGCTGTGGTTGTAAGTTGAGAACTACCTGTATTGCCAAAGTTGTTTTCCTTACAGTTGTTTCTTGCAAGGATATTGCCACTCTTCAGAGAGGGAGAAGCCCGAAATGAGGAAATTTGCCATTCCTCCATCCACAGTTATAGCCTCCACTTTACTTGCTAACCATTTTCAGAAATTACTATTAACTGCTTCAAAGCTATATGCCTTCAAAGTGACACCAGGTGAGTGCTTTCAATCCTTAATATAAGAAAATGAAGATGTATCTTTATGATATTTAATAGTTTAAAATAAACAGCAAAAAACAAAACAAGGTTTTGGCTACAGAAAATTTTAAACAGATTAAGGCTCAGAAATGTTGGAATATTGCATTTTGAAATTAATTTTAAAGAATAAATGCATTTTTGTGGGAAAGAAAAAATGTTTTTGGTATAGAGATGTAACAAGACAAATAACATATAATGGCATTCTGAGATATCTTTGAGAAACTACACAAGCATCTTCTGAATTAATTATACCAATTATACCAAATTATGTCTTCTTGAGAACAATTCATTCCCAGAAGAAGTTGCTATAGAAAAAGATAAAAATTTACCTGAGAACACATAAGAATTTGAATAAGAATTTATCATCAGATATAAAGAAAAAAAAAAGAACGAGTCTTTAAAAATTAAGAAGGAAATAAAAATGACAATTCCAAAGAGTATTTGGAGCATTTTTTCCCCCTGGATTCACAGGTTGTTTACAGTATTGGAAAAATTTGTAACGGGAATCAACAACCATCTGAATGGATTACAGAGAAAGAGTATATTGTATAAAAAACGGAATACAAAGATTGTTTATTTGACCAGGATTAAAACGGGATATGTTATTATTTTGGGTGGCTGTTTTTGGATTTGCTGATATCTGGATTGGAAAAATGTGGTACATTGCATTTTGAATGCAATGTTTAAGTTCCCCCCACTACATTTACTACAAATGCAAATTTGGTAGTATTTAAACTGCCTCTATATCTGTTTTTACTTGTGAACTTGTTTTTTTTTTTAAAAGGAAAAATTAGGCCTCTTTGTTATGTTAAATTTTAGTTTTTTGTTTATATTAGGATAGTGGGATTACTTTATATTTGCTAAACGTGGATTTGTTTAGAGTTGAAAGATGAAATGTTTATTTGAATGGGTTATGTTGCTATTTAGAGTGGTTTTCTTGGAATTGTTGGCATTTGGAATGGAGAAATAATGTGTATTGAATCTTGACTTTGTTATGGTCAAAGGCCAGCATAAGGAGGGTAGGATACAGTCAGTTAAAAAGCATAGAAAATACATCAGAGTATAATTTTTAAAAGGTATAAAAAGCTAAAAGATATAAAACCAAATATATATATATATAACAAGTTTTAACAAATAGGTGAAAGTTTAGCAGTTTTTTGTTTACATTAGGACACGGGTGTCAAACTCGCCACGTCACGCGACGTGTCGTGATGTATTGTGACTTTTTTTTCCACATTGCTGGAGCTGGGATGGGCGTGGCATCCGTATGATGCAACCAGCCTGCGGGCCAGCAGTTTGACACCCCTGCCTTAGGGTATCAGGATCATTTTATGCCTTTTAAATAGAATTCGGCTTACAGTTAATAGCTGAGATGTCGAATGTTGAATTTTATATATATAGTATTAATGTTATTATTTTAGAGCTGTGTTTGGACTTTTTGCTGATAGCTGGATTGGAGAAGATGCTGCTTATTTGATTTATTTATATTTGTCATGAGGAGACTAGGAAGTTCCTTTTCAGTTTTTTGTTCTGTTCTGTTTTTTTTTGCTTTCTTGCATTTTTTTATTTTTTATTTTCCATGATCTTTTATTGTTGTAATTAAAACTTTTAATGAATTAATTTGAAAAAAAAATTGTTTTTAAAATTTAAAAAGATGAATTAAAATGTAAAATCATTCCCTGTATCATATGGTCCATCCTTCAAAACTGCCAGAGGAACATTTCTGCATACAGATGTTTTAGGGAGTGGCAGGTGGGTAAATGTTTATGAACCAGTTCATCTGATTCCACTGCTACCAATGTTCTGTGCCACTAGCCACCAAAAAGCGGATAGGCAAGCTAATGATTTAACTTAGCTCTCAACTTCTCAGCTCATAAAATTTCAGAAAATATAACAATTGAGTTTAGTGAACCTGTATGAACCAACTCCAACAAACCACTGATTATAGAATATGTAAAGTACTGTTTCTTTTCTTCATTTTGAGCTGTGATATGGTGAGTATAGTTCCTTATTGTTTGAAAAGACATGCAACTTGTGAAGTCCACTCACATCAGTGTGAAAACTTAAAAACTGGATAGAAATATATACGAGGGAAATTCGGAAACAAACCTCCGTTTGGTTATCAATGTCAGACACTCACAGATACAGAACTTTTATTATACACATTAGAAAACTACAACATTACATTACTTTTTGACATAATCGCCATTCAAATTGAGGCACTTGTCATAGCGTCTCTTTGAAATTCCTTAGTGGTAGTCACTTGGCACCAAATCTGGGCTATGGGGGGGTGATCAAAAATATCCCAATGGAACTGCTTCAAAAGTTCTTGGGTGCATCTAGCAGTGTGCAGGTGAGCATAATCATGAACCAGAACACTGGAAGTCAGCATGCCCCAAAGCTTGTTATGGATAGCTCGTCTGAGTTTTTGTAATGTTCACAGTAGACTTCTGAACTGATGGTTGAATGAACTTCACTAGCAGTACTCCTTTGGCATCTTTACATTTGGTGGGATTTTCTATGGCACCACTTCCAGTGTGGTGTTGGTTCACGGTAATGCTTGCCCACACACCACTAGACGCACCCAAGGACTTTTGAAGCAGTTCTGTTGGGATGTTTTTGATCACACCCCTCCCCATAGCCCAGATTTGGCACCAAGCGACTACTGAAGCTGAACTTCAATTTTGGCTTGTTGATGGACAGACTTAACCATGGTTTCAACTAGGAAACTGAGAAACCATCTTAGACCAAGTCCCAAAATGCTAGAGAATTCCTGGGAGCCTGACACTCTAACAAATCTACCATCAATAGACACATAGATATAAATCACACCTACAGACTGTGCAAACGAGACAATCAACAAGCCAAAAAGGGAACAAAAAACCAAAACAACCAATATTAACATCAAACCAACAATCAATAAGCAAACAATACACCAATCAAGAACTACCAATCCAGGCAAACAGGCCAACAGTAAGCAGACAATGATTCCCACCAACACTGACAGGGCAAGTCGCTAGAATATAAATTGAGAGAAAATCCCACTCCCTAATAGCACTAATGATGGGTAATGAAATGTCTGCAAGAAAACAAGCTCAGGGAGCATCAAAGACCCTCTTGCAAGTCTAAATATACATTTATCCTCTGTCCCTTTTACAGTCCATGAAGTAAGGAGGGTCCCTTCTGAGCTGCTTGCTGCAGCCTCATTCATGATAAGTTGCCTTTTATTTGACAATTCTCTTGGCTGTCTCTTCTCTTGACCCTGTCTTCCAAGATAGCATTCCCCACATACCATTACATCTGATCTGCTTAATCCAGGGTTTGGTTTCAGTCCAGAGACCTACTAGCACAGTCTGTTCTTCTTAGGATGCTATAGGGGTAAGCTACAAAGGGAAGCAATTAATAATATCTAAACTATGCCAGGGGTTTGTGTGTGTGTGTGTGTGTGTGTGTGTGTAAAATTAAATGTTTTTCTAGAACATATATATTCATTAGACTGCTTCTTATTTGAATTTTAGTGTCAAGTCTATTGTATTTGAAATTTATTACTATTAACATTAATGGTTATAAACCATATCAGAAGCAGAGTCAGTCTTAAAGGAAGTTTATAACTACTGTTTAATAAAGAATATGTTAATTGCAAATGTTTTGTGAGTAGGTTAGGTTTTGTGAGTCAGTTAGGTTTCATTCACAGGATCTACAATTGCAATAGTATATGAAATCCTGAAAAATAGCAATGAACTTGTCACAAATCAAACTGTGGCATAGAGATAGGGTAGTTTATACTGAAAAGGAAAGCACTGTGATTCCTTCCAAAGGTTTACTATGTACTTATAAAACCAGCTGACCTAGTATTAAATGTATTCAGATATGTCTTTGCCATATTAGACTCCAATTCCATCCACTCATGGGTATGCTTATAAACGGTTTAACATAATTAACTGCCACTGTTTACATTTTGTATTAACAGCTGTTACCATGTGTAACTTATGTTCTGCAATCCAGAACTGTAATCTTACATTAGGTAAACATGCGTAGAAACCACGGGATTTTCAAATGCAAGTTATTTTATTGCCCCAAGGGGCTGAAAAATTACCCTGGAGATGATTAATCTTAGCTTCTTTTTTTTTTTTTTTCAAAAGTCAAGTAGCTAATAATCCTTTAGAAAGAAATGGAAATCAAGTTGTTGTATACATGCCAGAAGGTTTAAATGCATTATTTTTCACCCTTAGCATAAAACATGTTACCATTTAGCCTGTTCCAAGAGACTCAAATTTTATCTCATCACCTGGCACCTTATTTTAATCTCTTCTCATTTTAGGCAATGTCTTTATAAAAGAGGAAAGATTGAACTGTGTCATAAAATAAAAGGCACACAACTACAGTTTCTTCCTCTAACTCTGTCTGTATACGTGATGCTATGTTGCTCAAAAAAAGGTAGCTTTTATCGTTCTTTTTTTCTGGCAAAAGAACACTATTATACAATAGGGAGGAAGGACATTGCGATATTTAAAAGGAAGGTTACCAACTTTTTTGGAGATATATGTTTCTATTGTGTAAACTCAGCCAGTGATTTCTGCATATCAAGGCACTGGATCTGCCTTTTTTTAAACTTTTTTTGATAGGAAGAAATGTCTTTGTCTTTTCTGAACAGTTTTTATTTTCTGTCCAGTGGTAATGCTGATGCCACAGGGTTGATACAAAACAGCTACAAATTCAACAAAGCGGTGCTAATGCTTGGTGTTAAAGAAGCTTTTAGTTTCAGAAACATGTTAGTTGAGTAACAAGTGTGTCTGAAAGTTTTATAAAAGACCCATTGTAAAAGTTTTATAAAAGACCCATAGTTCTTTATAAAAGAACTATAGAACTGAACAAGCTTCTTGGATGAGAAGCAAAACATTTTCAAAGAAAAAAACCCACGAAAGTCAAGTTGCCTTTTGGAAAAAGTACCTTTGGGG